TTCTCCCCTTTTTTTTTTTTTTTTTTTTTTTTTTTTTTTTTTTTTTGGTACGGTGGTGGTGGTGTGGGGGTAGAATTCTGGACCTTGGAACCACTGAGCTAAAGCCCCCTGCCCTTTATCACCGCTAGGAGGAGCCCTGCCCATAAAGGTGAACTCCAGTGTAGATGCAGTACTGGACACCAAGCCTGAGCCCCGAGGGTACCACTGTTCCTACCTCCCCTGGAAGGCACCCCACGGGCCCCATCCTTCACTTCTTATGGCAATCTTTACAAGCCCTGCACATTCACAAACTAGCTTTCTGCTCTGGAAAAGTCATATGTCCTTAGACAACATAAAATACAAGACACCAATATGTTTTCTTGATACCCATAAGCCAGGGACCCTGTCTGTGAACTCGAGTCAAATAAGACCTTTTCTGAAAAGTTATATTATTTCTCCATAAATCTTCACTGAATTCTGACTTTTCTATGTAAATATAATCTGAGTACTAAAGGGGACCTTTGCAGGCATTTTTTGATGCCACTAGGTAAAGCCTTTCCAGCTGACACGAGGTGTCCCCTCTCCTAGGGCCTTACCTTTAAAGTGTAAATACAGCACATCATTCAGTGCCGGGGTGAGGTAAAGCTTGTGCTGCTTGCAGAGCTTTTGTAGGAACTGTTTAGTCATTCTGTCAAAATAAAAGACATGGATAAGACATTTATAAAATATAACCCAAAGTCTATCCGCATACTCGTCTATGTCTACCGTTCCACATCCTGATGATATAGAGGCCTGAAACTTAAATACCCCCTCCTCTCCCCCTTCTCTCTTTCCTCCACCTCCCATCTCTCCTATTCCTCTCCTCCTCCTCCTCCCTTTTAGGATAGCTTTTAGGACCCCGTCCAATATTACTTTCAGTGTTCTTAAAAATCGCATTTTATGTCCTAATAAAAATACTTTTAATAATGTCATCGAGAATTCTAGATATTTCTTCTTCCAGGTCTAGCATTAAAGATTGACAGTATGTGGTTAGTCGAGCCACAGAGCCAGTCAGGCTCCACTGTTTAACAGTTCTCAGACAGTGAGTGGGCCCTGTGTTCTTGCCTGTACAAGGGAGTGACTACCCCACGCACATTTCCTGATGGTGGCAGCACATCCACCTACCTGGGCCCCCGATCCTCCCTGTCACTGCTTGGTTGTGCTAAGTGACTGACTGATTCGCTATCGCCACTCTGTTTCTGCTGGCTTGGGCAGGGTGTGTCAGAAGGACCCACACATATTTCCTTAGGATCATTAATTTCTGTAAAACAAGAGATCTGGTTTACAGAGATCAAGAAATGTACAGAAACAAATCTCCCAATTCCAACTTGATTGACAACTGCGTATTTCTAGTGTGGAACACCAGAAATCTTTAAATGTGTAACAGTTTTTAAAACATTGGCAGAGACTAAGTAAATATCACTTCTTGGTCGTTCATCTACCTAAACTGTAAAAATGTACATGGAAATGCATGCAAAGATAATTTGTTTTTCCATTATTTGTAACAGCCCGAAACTCTTACTAAACCAAATGTGTATCCAAAGAGACTTATATAAAACAATGAATTACTCTTCTACCTTTGGAAAGAATGCACCAATGGCTACATTAATCAATGGGATCTTTCTCAGAAATATACATGGAGTGCAAAAAGCATGTTTCCATAAAAGGATCACATTTATATAAATTAAAAACATGCAAGCCAATGTTATGTATTGCTTAAAGATACATACATAGAAAAGTGATAGAAGACCCCTTATGAAATTTTGGACAAGAAAGGGAGAGAATGGTAATAGAGGGAGAGAAATATCTACTTTATGTGAAATATTTTATTTCCTTAACAAAAATACTTCAGGGAAATATGACAAAATGCTAATCGTTTGCAGTTCTTGGTGACAATACATGGGGTGCTGTATTTGTTATAATCTTCTCTGTCCTTTTGTCTTTGAAAAAAATTTCTCAGCCAGGCATGGTGGGGCGTGCCTGCATTTCCAGCACTTTTTGAGGCTGAGGCATGAGGGTTGCAAGTTTGAGCCCAGCCTAGGCAACTCAACCATTTAGCAACATCCTATTTCAAAATTTAAAAAATCAAAAAAGGATGTGGATGCAGCTGAGTGGAAGGTCCTGGATTCAGTCCCCAGTATTGCTCACACACACAGACACACACACACACACACAAACACACACACACACACCAGGCATGGTGGTGCATGCTTGTAATCCCAATATCTAGATAGCTGTGGTGGGAGAGGGTCACCATCATTCCAAGGCCAGTCTGGGCTATATAGTGAGTAAAACTATATAGCAAGATCCTGTATAAAAAAAAAAAAACCGAGAGAAGGAAAAGCAGGAAAGAAAGAAGAGAATCTTAAGTGCATGAAAAGAAACAAAGACCATGAAATGTTGGGAATGCTTTGGTATAGGTAAAATGAACACATTCAAGTGCACTTAAGTTTTTTAAAAAGATCGATCAAAATCGGCCAATTCGCTTGCAGGTAACTCCGAAGCTATTGGCTGCCGTGTACATCCAGTCTCCTGACTAAGTACTCTGTGTGCGGGACAGTGTCTGATGTCTTTGCTTTCCCATTGTACGCACTGCCCAGCCACAAGAGGAACTAGATAAATATTTGTGGAATAAATGAGTACTCAATATTTAATTATTTTAATAAGAAGGCTGTCACTCATTAGTGGCCTGGTACATGCCATACACTTTCACTGGAATTATCTTTGTATATTGCTGTATAATTATCCCTGCTACAGATGAGGACACTGAGGCTCAGAGATGTTAAGCTCTAAGCCAATGGCTTAGCTGGGGAGCTGGACAATCACAGTCTGAACAAAAGGTGAGTAATTCTGAAGCCTATGACTTTCCACGGAGTAAAATCGATTCCTCCTCGTACAGTGTGTTCACCAGAGTTTGAGTAACAGCCACTCAAGATGTATTTGTCGGCTGGGTTCAAACACAGATCTGGTCACTAAAAGCTTTCCCACAGGCCCAGTGGAACAAAGACTGAAGCCTGTCTTTGAGCCCTTTCTTGGAAACTTTGGTGAGGGGTCACAGACTGGTCCCAGAACCACCAACCCTTCAGTCTCTCTACACCCTTCAAGCGCTTGTCTAGACGCTTTGAATTCTAATCTATCAAAAGGGCCTACCCTGATGTCTGTCTGCTTGCAGTCTACAGGGGAGGAAATCTTTACTCTCACATGGTGATAGCAATAAAGGGATACATTCAAAACAAAAGTTGAGTGAGAGATTGTGTTGGGCCAGGGCTTGGGCTCCGGACTCTGACTGCCCAAATCCGAGTGTCTGTGGTCTAACTGACTAGCTGAAGGCAATTAGTTGGGAGCGAGTTTAAGTTCTTCTGAAGTGTCAGCTACTCGTCTGTACGAAATGGGGAGAGAATGAAGCAAATGCGTGGCAAATCTCCTTTAAAACTTGTTGGTTGCTATTACAGCTACTATTGCTATTGGTTGCTATTGAGGCTACTATTGCTATTACAGCTACTACTGGCTGTGAAGACTGGGGTTGGCCCATCGCCCCCCTCTGTCTCCCCGGGAGAGGTTGGCACCTTTCTTGCTGGCCCTTTGGTCCACGTCGCCGTGGTCGGGCTTCTGCTCGCAGTCCAGCCCCACTACCTCCTGCGCCGCGAGCTCCGAGGCCCCGGGGTGCATGCTTATTCTCCTAACACCGAACACCTGGTACTAGTCACTCTTCAGCCTCACCGGGAAAGCCTTGCTTTTCTTCCTCAGTAACACCAGCTAGGGCTCTGCAATCAATCCAACACCTCCCTGGTTGTCACGGCAACCACTGCGCATGCGCACACCGGGCAGGTCCTTGAGCCGGGGGAGCCTGGGAGGGGCAGTGCAGGGGCTCCGCCCCCAACGCGTGCGCGGGTCACGTGAGCCGAGGCCAGCTACGGCTGCGGTGGCGAAGA